CATGCCTGACCCTCTCGGCCTCCCGCCCTTCAAGCTCTAGTTTCTGCAATCAGCGGGCCCTGGAGAGCTCTCGGCCCTCCCCAAGGCTCTCTGGCTATACAGCTGGACACTGGTGACAGAAAATACTAACCAAGGATGGAAGCTAAACAAAATGACTTGACTTGTTTCTTTAATGTTTGCGTTTTTAAATGCCCCAGTTATAGCTCCAAAACTGATTAAGACACTGATCTCCCCAGAAAGTATCACTAGATATGTATGCAACTATTCTCATAAAACTGAGCAAATATGCTCCTAGTAGAGGCTAAAAGTATATTTGTTAAATTGTGAAGGGTATTTATTAAATACCCTTAATAAATTTTAAAGGTTATTTAATAAAAGTATTTATCAAATATGTTAAATAAATAATATCTATTTATTAAATACCTTTAAATAATTGTGAAAGGTGGGTTTTCTCTGTTCCTAATATCCCTGGACATTAAGATGGCGAGTCAATGGCTCCTCATAGATATTTGCTGAGTCTCCAATGTGCAACATAGAGGTTGGACACACCGGGCCTGCAAAGATGTACATGCCCTACTCCCAGCCTTCAGGAAACTCATTTTCATGGAGAGCTATCCGAGGAGAGATAAGTGCTGGAACGAGAAGGGACAGGGTATCACAGAGACATTTGGGAACAAGAGGACAGCAGGACATAGAGGAAGACACCTGTGGGCCTCTCTGACTTACTGCGCAAGCTCATCCCTCTCCCTAGGACACCCGTTACCTCTTTAGGAAGATAAGGTCAGATAGATGAGCAAACACCAACCCCCCATTCACAATCTTCCATGCCCCCAGCTTGGGTCTTCTTTGAGGGATCGAAGGCTGTAACCCTGTTTCTTGGCCTCTTACTCCCTGCCCTGCATTCTTGCTTCCAAGTCTTGGCTTGTGCTGGGAATTCAGCTGGCTTGAGCTCTGAAAGAAATCCATCAGAAGAGGTTTTTCACATAGCTTTCTCTTATATGAAAAAAAAAAAAAAAAACTGTCTGAAGTCCAAAATGACTGGGCTTATAGTGAAATCTTCCAGTTTCTGTTAGAAGGGTTCCCCAAGCTGCCCTAAGGCCAGGTGGGGAGATCTGCACCCTTTCCCTGGCTCCAGGGCTTGAATGATTAAAGAGTTTACTCTGATGGATTCCTCTGAGATCATTCTCCCACTTTGCAGGAGAAAAAAAAATGAGACCAAAGGGTGGGCCAGGCTTTCCTATCACCCTCAAGTTAACTGCAGAGACAGGCCTCCCAGCCCCTGAGCAAGGGCTCCCCACTCTCTGATTTTCTCCTCAGGCTGAGTCCTCAGGATGGAGTGCACCAAGGACCACCAGGCTGCCTCCCTCTCCAGCCAAATGTTGATTGCTAATGAGCTAGGACTCCAAGTTACCTTTGTTCTGTACTAGCCAAGAGCCAGGACACCCAAGCCTCACAAGGGTAAGTGTAAGAGTAATTCCATAGCCTGGCAAATTACCCCAGGGCACCCACCTTTGGAAGAATTTTTATTGCTAGAGTTCATGAAATAATTTGACACAGTCTCTTAGACACATGGGTGGCCGGACATGGCAAAGGGAAGAGGTCAGTTGGCTGGTATCGATGCGAAGGTGTTTGCCTTCCTCATTGCTGGCATCTTAGGAGCTTGTCCTTGGACCATGTTACCATCCCCATGAATGTCATGGACACTCCTATCACACACCGATGCACTTTCAAGGCAGGCAGTCCCACAAATAGTTGGAAAAACCCTGGGGGCAGCTCTGATGCCCACAACTCAAAGAGCTTTGTTTCTTTTCTAAAAATCTGGAAATCTATTCAGATAGAGATCACCAAACACAGAAACTCCCTTCAACAAACAAGTCCAGATTTCAGTTCCAATTTTAGTTAGAATATTATTTCTAACTTCACAATACCCTGGAAAAAACCAAGCCAAAGATCCTTCATTAATATTTTCTGATGATGGCAGAATCATCACCAACTGTCATTACCTAAGTGAAAGGGTCTGTGCATTGTGTCTTGCATTATTAGTCATTGTTGAATCGGACACAACTTGACTATAATGACTTTAATTAATTTCATTTCATATACCCTTCTAACTTCATATATGCCAGTGAGGCAGAAAGGAAAAAAAAAAAAAGACCCTGTAAACAGGCACATTTTGTAAACTGCCAGTTATATAGTAAGTGTAATAAGAACCAAAGATGGAGATTAATGAAGGAAACTTGGTCTATTTTTAGTCATCTCACCAACACAAAGTGTATAGAATAAGCTATAGTTAGTAAAGGGAGCATAGCTTGTAATGTGCATAGCTGAAGAGTGTCTGTCATTGAATGAAGGGCAGTCACTATAATTGTCATCGTTATTATTTTTTCCACAAGGGTGGACCCTGATCCTCCAGATGTTTAGGCTACAATTTGGTCCTGCTTCCCCCCCAGAGTGCTAATATTCCAGGCTTGTGTGATCTCTCCCTTCTCTAAATGCCCTTGGTGACCAGTGTCCTGACTCTAACAGTTGTCTGGGGAAAAGTTGAATAGGCTGGGACTGCAGTGGCAAGTCAGTAAGGAGTGAATCCTAGACTCCACTTCTGGGGCCTGAGGACATCTCATCAGGTCCACGACATGCCAGCCACGTCCCTAGAGCACAGAAGTCATCTGGGGAGGAGAGAAGCACAATGCACACAGTAGGTGTCAAACAGAGCATCTAAGCTTCCAGCTGGTCTAGCTGTTGGGACTCCATGTGAGAAAATATTTGAAGACATAGTCCTACAGCTAATAGGAAGTTTGAAACCCCCGACACTGCTATGATTTTAAGGTCTTTTTATGCACACACACACACAAAATCAGTGATCATTTTTAAATGATTGCTTATGCATTAATTACTTATTTCTTCTCCCCCCTCCAAACAACTGGGTTAGTGGGAGAGCGGTGGATAAAAAACAGAACACAAGTTTCCTGACTCCCAGTCCAGGCCTTATTCCAACCGATAAATATATCCTCCAATATATCAGCACAGATTTCTGATGTGGCAGAAAGAGGGGAGACACAATTACTTTCATCCCAGTACTGAACTGTCAGGGCTTTATCAGTTTTTACCACTTTTCTAGTCTGCAGATGAGAAGGGATCACCACTCTCTGCTCTAGGAAATACAGAAGGCAGGAAGGGGTCAGCCACTGACAGGCCAAGTCTGGGAGCTTGTGGCAAGTGCACCAGAGTCCTCCTGGCCTTTCAGTCCCTCCCTAGCTCCTCGCAGGAGCCACCAGCTCAAAAAGCTACAAGACTAGGTAGGCAATGTCAATGTCAAGAGCCTGATGCTAGAGAACTGTGGCAAAACCAGAGAATGAAAGCATTTTGGTGCCTCTTAGAACAGGCAAAGGATATGGATGTGAAAGGGACCGCTGTGGCAAGAACACATCTCATTTCCCTGTTTGCTCTCTTGTTCCTCAATCATGGCCTCCTGCTAAGGCCACCAGGCCTGAGTCCTAACCAGATGGACTATTCTTTTTAAATGTATTTTTAGAAAAAAAAATTTTCTACTTTTTTTTTTTTTTTTGGTAGAGATGAGTGGTCTCCGAGGGGTTTCATTTCCTTTCTGAGTCAGGTTCAGCCTCACTGGGCTTGACTTTCAACTTCTGCTGCTCTGCCCTGCCCTGAGTGCTCAGAGTTCCTCCGGTGATGCCCCCTCTATTTCATGAGCCCCCCAAATTAAACTGAGTGACTACTAATAAGTTTTTGGTACTTTCCAAAATTAAACTATTTCCCTTGGTAAATTTCCACCAAATGAGCTCATTAATCTGAAAACAGGATGTGGCACATGAAGAGAGTGAATCAGGTGGCCTGTCCTTATCACTTACACTGGCTGGAGGCAGAGAGGAAGGGGTGGGTGGGACAGGGGTAGGCCCAGAGCATAACTCTGACAGACCCCAACTCCTCCGTGCAGTGGACTGAGAACCAATGAATTTTTAAGTCAGAGACTCAGAATTGTGAATCTTTTTCTCTTAGAATTTAAAGGCCCCACAGAATGCTTGGAATCCTGAACCCTTCTACTAGTCAGAGACCAGGCATCTGCCCTCTGGGTGGGGTCCCCAGGCCTAGGGGTTAACTAGGACTCCCCTCAGATTCTGGAGGAAGCTCTCATTGGATGGTTAAGAGGTTTAAGTGCATCCCAGGTTTAAACAAACAAGACCAAAGAAGTAAAAAGGCAGTTCCCAATGGCAGTTGGCTCTCAAGACCAAAACTGGGACCCTCTCACATGAAGAGAATTTAATGAGTGCCTCTGAGTAATTAAAACAAAACACCACCAGCAAAGTGGCCCGCCTCCCTCCTGCCTCACCTCACTTTGCAGCGGATCTGAGAGGTCTGATAGAAACGGAACCAAATTCCTAAAAATAAAGGTTATCTGTGAAAAATTCTATCCCAACACTAAATTCCCTAACTACTTTGACGAACAGAGACAACAATTTCATAGGAATAAGTGACTGAGTGCCGCGTGTGTTCTGAAAGCAGAAATCCTTCTTTAAAATGCCCACTGTGTAAAAGCACAGCGACCTGGGCGACCATCGCCGCTGGTCACGCCGAGCCAGGAAGTTTGGGCCAGCCCGGTACCTTCCCAGGCTCTTGGTGGGACCCCAAGGCAGGGAAGACGGGCTTTGCCACTGGTCACCCACCCCAGGCGGGACTGCAGGTGGTCGGGGCTGCTGGAGGCCCGCGTCCCGGGCTGTATCCCCTTATTCGGGGAACACTTTCCCGAGACCTTCACCTGCACCAGGGCCGCGCGGGGAGGACAGGGGTGGAGTGTGGCGGGGGACCCCCGAGGGAGACCCGAGCGGGCTCCGCCGTAGACCCCGCCCCGGGCCTCAGTTTCCCCGCGCGCGCGCGCCGCCCCCGCCCCCCACCCCGGAGCCGCCCGGGCCCCGGCCCTCCCCGGCGCCGCCCTCCCCGGCTTCCGCCGCCGGGCCACGTCCCCGACGCCCCGCCGGAAGCGCTGGGCCGGGCGGCGGGGAGCGGCGAGGCGGCCGCGCCGAGGTTGGTTGCGCGGCACCCCACCCCCCACGCGCGCCCCACCGCGCCCCAGGACCGCTGGCAGTTTCCCAGCCTCCGCGTGTCCCCCGACGCCCGGGTCCGGCTCGCTCAGGCGGGGACTCCCCAGTGCAGGGCTCCCCGCGCGCGGCCTGGGACTGGAAGTCTCCGCCGTAGAGCCCGCCCCCGAACTCGCGGCCCCAGCCCCGCTAGCCGGCGCGGGGTCACCCCGGAGTTCACGCATCCTTGCCAGGCGCGGCCGCTGCTCGGCTCGCGGCGCCGCGCACGCCCGGGCAGGTGTGCTGTGGTGGCCCGCGGCCGTCACCTGCCCTCGAGGGCGCTTGGACGGAGCTGGGGGCGGGGGGCGGTCGCGGGGGTACAGGTGGGCAGCAGGTATCGCCGAGGGCGGGAGGCTGTGCTCTTGCAGGCGGGATTTTGAAGACGGGCGCCCAACCCCATCCAGGGAGTGGCCCGCGGAAACGCCCAGGGAACGTGAGATGTGGTCTAGATGCGCCCCTAAGGACAAGTGGAAGCCTGGGAGATGGGGGTACGCGTGTGTGGAACCCCGCAGGTGGAGTCACAGAGATGAATCCGATGAAAGTTAAGAATGGAAGAGAGAGGTCAAGGCGCAGCTAGAGAAGGGTGGGGGGCTGTGGGGGTGTGGAAGGGAGACTGGGAGGGAATATGGGAAACCAAGGGAAGGAGCAGGTTCTGGAAGGAGGGCCATAGAAACTGGGAGGGCCCAGGGCTTTTGTCAACCTGGACTGGGAAAACCTAAAGGAAGTTCTAGTTCAGAAATGGAGAGTTAGCCTGTGTGGACTATCCTTTCTGGAAACTGTTCAAATGAGGAGAGAGGTGCTTGCCAGAGAGGAATTAAGGGTGAAAGCGAAGAGCTACAGCAGCATGTGTGGTTAGACCACAGGCTGGGGTTCAGGAGTCCTCATTCACTATCCGTGATATCTTGGGCAAGTCTCTTAATGTCTCTGAGCCTCACATCCGTCACCTGTACAAGGGGGATGATGAGGGTCCATGTGAAGGCTAGATGAGGTGATGCCAGTGAAATACCTAGCAGCATTAAAAGGCACCACTTTCATTTTTCACTTATTATCAGAGCAGGTTGACATATTTTGATGTTGATAGGAAGGAACTGGGGGGGAAAAGAGTCATTTATGACAGAAGAAAGAGAAAGGGACCCAGAATGTGGACAGGGAGAAGACTTGGGTGCCTTGTCTATGCCAAGCCAGGGTTGGAGAGAACAGGTGGGGGTGTGAGCGGGGGTGCAGTTGTGAGGTAAACAGTTAAATGTCTTTCTGAGGTGGTCTTTTCCCTGACGTAGGTCTCAAGGTCATTTGCTGAGAGGGCCGGGTCAGGACTTGCTCAGTTGAGGGTGGAGGTCCTGACTTAGACCTCAGCACTGGAGTGCCATGCCCTCTTTGTGAGCAGCTGAGGGCAGCCCCAGTATCTTCCAGGTTAAGAGCAGCAGTTGTAATTATCTAGGGTCAGAGAACAACATCTGATCTGCCTTGTCCACTTGTGGGCCTCAAGTGCAGTTGATGAATGGGAAAATATTATACCAGCATAATTTGCCATATTTGTCCTTTCGTGTTGAGGCTCTGTGGCCATGGCCAGAATCCAGTGTCACTGTCTTCCGAGCCCTTCCCTTAGACTGTGCTTCTTGTCTGCCTTTCATTTCGGTTAGCATCACAGCAGTCAGATGATGTGGGTACTACTGTTACCCCGTTTCACAGATGCAGAAACGGGTTCAGAGCACTTAAGGACCCATAGCTAGTAAGTGGTAGACTCAGGACCCCAGCTCAGGGCTGTCCGAGCTGAAATGTCTCAAAGCCTGTGGTTTGAGCCACTGAGAGTTTGTAAAATGCAACCCAGTAGGATAGAAAGATGTGCAGGGATCATCATTTCCATCTGATAGTTAAGAAAATGGAGGCTGGAAGCTCAGCCCTCCATCCGGGTCTCTGTGGGCTCTACCAGGCTGCCTTGTACAGGCAGAGAAACAGAATTAATCTGCTCCCCCACCAGGGCCTGTGTGACTTTGGACCAGACAGTTTGCTGCTCTGAGCCTTATGTGGCTGCAGAATAGCTGGCAGTTGCTCTGAGGATCCAGAAGGAAAACCTTGCTTGGCACCAAGTAGACATGCCAGGGCCATCGTTCCCACGTGGCTGTGGATCTGTGCCCCATTGGGCCGCTGAGACTAACTCCCTGTGACCTTTTATTTATTTAGAGCTCTGGTCTCCTCGGGGTAGGGAAGTGGTGACGCCTGACCCAACCGTGTAGCCACCTATGACTTCCTGAGTGGAACCGTGGGGAAGGACCCTGAGCAAGCCATGGTCCTGAGGTCTTGGACTTCAAAGGCAGGCAGGGCCCCATGTCATTGCCACAAGCGATGAGGCTGGGCCAGTGGAGACCTCCCTGCTGCCTCTGATTGCTTCCATCCCTGTCCCTGAATCTTAGAATCTTAGAAACCACCTGTTAAATTCCTGTTTTTACAGATGGGGTAACCAAAGAACCACGGAGAGGAAGTGTTTATTACCTGGGACACTCTGGACAGGAAAGAGCTAATGTGCCTGGAACTTGCATTTTTGGACTTGCCTCCAGAACCCTGGGGAATTTCCACCAGGGAGGTCAGCACCTCCTCCGAGATTTCTCTAGGCTGCTCCGAGGTCCCGGGGAGCTCAGGCGAGTCACCAGCTGTGGCTCTCTGCAGAGTGCCCCCTGGGAGGAGGTGGAGGAAGCTGGCGGGAGCCCCAGATTCTCTGCTGGGGAAACACTAGCTAGTTCCTGAAAGGCAGTGACATGGTTCTTTTTCCTCCCTGATGTGCTCTCTTGCTCTCTCACTAAAGAATGACTGGACACTCCTAGAGCCTTCAGGCCCCATCCAGGGGATTTTTTTTTTTCACCACAAAGGGTAATTCCTGTCCCATCCCTGCTGTGACTCAGCTGTGACGTTGAACCACACAAGCCAGAGAGAAGAAGATAAAGTCATCAGACGCCCTCTCGCCAGGAGGGCAGCCCAACCAGCACTCATCTCTTCTTAGCAGAGGATCCACGGGCTGGTGCCCTGCTCCGAAGAGCTTGGACCGGCCGCCTGAGCAAGCTAGGACCCCAGGATGGCCTCTGGTTCAGCCAGCAGCCCCCGCCTGGCCCCTGATGAGAATGAGTTTCCCTTTGGATGCCCCCCCGCTGTCTGCCAGGACCCATCCTCGTCCAGGGCCCTCCGCTGCACCACCTGTCTCTCTGAGAACGTGAGGTGAGGGGACCGTAGAGCAAAGGGTGGGTTAGAAGGTGCCAGGGAGGGACCCCCACGGAAAGCAGGGTGACAGGAACTGGTGACTGCACCTCTCTGGGCCTCAGTTCCCACATCCTTTCCCCGGTAGTGCTTGATGCTGCCCTTTCTGACTATGGGCATGAGGAGACACAGGCTCAGAAAGGTGACAGCCCCTCCCCCTCCCAGCAGATTGCTGTCCAGGGCAGAGGGGGCCACTCTAGGCCCAGCTGGCTACTTGGTGCAGATTGCTTAACCTCTCCACGCCTCAGCTTCCTTGTTTGTGAAATGCCTGTAAAGCTATTTTCTACCTCCCAGGATTGTTATAAAGCCCAACCAAGAATATTCAAAAAACATTCTTGCAATAATGAATGTAAACTCCCTTGGTAAATGACAAACTGGTATGCAAATATATCTCCTTCTGAATATTACCCAAACTCATACTGTTTGCTGTCGACCTTTTTAAAGGGGAAAATATATGTATGTATTTTCAATAAATATATTTTATAATATATAAAAATGCATATATGTGTATATAGCTGTACTTATATATGAACATATGTCTATGACCCATATTGACTGAAATTTTGTATGTATATAAAATATGTAATACATTGTATATGATATAGTAACATTTATATATTTATACTTAAACATAAATAACTCAGAGGGGTATATTTTAATACAACCATTAGCATCTCACCGACTACTAACCACCGACTGTGTGCCCGGCTCTCTATCCTTGGGCCCGCAGAAGAACCTGGAAGGGCAGGCATTACTAGTTTCCTATTTCACAGATGAGGACACTGAGGCCTAATGAGGAGAGACCATCAGCTTGCCCCAGGTCCATTTCCTGGCAATTATGTTCTTAAACTGCCACGTGCCCCAGAGTGACCTTTGCTTGGGGTTTTACAGCTTAAGGAGGTGGGAAAACTGAATCAGGTCAGTAAGAATGTCAAATTTGGTGATGGGGGTGGGGTGAGGCTGAGTGAGGCGGAGGGGCAAGTGGTGGAAGGGTCAGAGCAAAACTTGACTGGTTTTCCCCCTAAGCCCATTGCTCATCTTGGGATTTGCAATGGTCTCCTGGCTTCCCTGCCCATTCTTCTGAGACCTGGCAGAGAAGGGGGAGGAGCCAACTGGATGTGGCAGGGACCAGCCTGAAGAGTTCTGTCCAGAACTCCAGCTGTGCTCAGAATCACTGCCCCTTGGCCAGTCCTTACGTGCCCTGAGGCCCCACTCCCTCAGCTGTAAAATGGGCCTCCTTGGTGACTCACTCCGGGTCATTCGTTCTCAGGAGCTTCAAAGAAGCATAGATCCCTGTGTTACCAGTCAGTCTGACACCAGCCCCAGTGAAGCACCCCAGCTGGGTGATCTCCAGGACCCCTCCTTCTAAGAGGCCACAATCATCTGTGATGACTAAAAATAAAAGACTGAAACTAAATAGAGGAACCTGGAAAAAACAAATATAGTCACCCGTCCACAATCCCTTACTTGAACCCCTGGGTCTGATGTGTTTGGGAATTCAGAATTTATTTTAGATTTTAGAGAAGCAATCAGTGTATTGCTGTTGTATTAATAATTCTTCCAGCAGGGGTTGGGGCAGCACCTTATAGTCAAGCATGTTAATATTTCTGCAATGAGATGTTCCACCAAATGGGATAAATAAGGTCTGTAATAGCCTTATTTAGGGCAGGTTTGACTGCTGAAGAAACTTACTGCAAACTACAGAAAAGCTTTGGGTGCCCCATGCCCTCGAGGGTTGGGAATGGTGGGTGCAGGATTGTTGGCGCTGATGTCACATATAGCAGCTGTTACCCTGGGCAAGGGCTGAGCTTTTGGAACCAGCATGCAGGCTGGTGCTGGGGAGTCATGAATGCCCCCCCTCAGTGGAATTTGTTCATGTATTCCCAGGAACTGTAAGGATCAGATCTGTTCCAAATGCAGAGGGGACGACTCCCTGTCGGTGAGCCCGGGCAGCCTTCTGTCTCAGGAGAAGGTATGTTGACACAACCGAGAAAGGATATTTGTCCACTTTCTCCATTTGTGAAGGTTGAAGTCAAGCAGGCAGCTGCGCATACAGCCCGTGGCAGGTACCCCCCACCTTGTTATGAGTCTGGACTGAATTGGGTTTTTTCAGTTTCTTAGTCATGAAGAGACTGATGGTCACAGTGCTGCAGCAACTTGCCCAGAGCCACGTGGCTGATCTGTGACAGACTCAGGGTGAGAAAGCAGTCTAGGCTCAGGCTCCAACTGCTACAAATCCAGCTTGCCACCTGTTTTTGAATGGCTAAGAATAGTTTTTGAATTTTTTGATGGTTAAAAAAAATCAAAAGAAGAATGATAGTATGTGATTCATGCAAATGATAGGAAATTCAAACTTCGTGCCCATAGAGCTTTATCAGCACACAGCCACAGCCCACTTGTTGCTGTATGGTAGTTGGCCATTTTCATCCTACAAGAGTGAAATGAGTAGCTGCAACAGACCCAAAAGCCAAAAATGTTTACATCAGGCTCTTGGCAGAAAAAGGTAGCCAACTCTTAACCTAGACAGTTCTTTCTGTCCTGTCTGTCTGCAGGCAAGCAGAAGTCATTCTCAGCTCATCTCTTGGGCTTTGCCCAGCTATGCTTCCAGAAATAAGAGAGCTCTCGAAGCTCAAGGGACCAAAGAGACATTCTCAGGCACCCTGTTTAACACCCCAGCCCCCCCTGGGGTTGGAAGGACCCTCATAGGTCATCTGTCCAACCAAGAGGTTGCCACATGCCACCCAGAACTGATCCATCACCAGTTTATGTCAGAATTATAAAAATAAGGAAACTGTAGTGAGTCCTTTCTATTTATTGCAAATTCTTTCCATTTATTGAATCAACCTGTATTCTGAGAGTATGTGTATCTTCCTGTGCATGTCTTTTATAAATTAAATGGCAGTGATAGTTGATGATGATTTTTTGGTAAAACCTTAGTAAAATTACAAGATGGCAATCTATGTTAGTCCCCCAATTTACAAAACAAAACAAAACAAAAATCCAATATTCTAGGTCTAATCCCTTCATTTTTCTCTCAGGGTCTTGATACCCCTAGGGGAGTGTCAGTGAGAAGCTCCCCAGTGACCAGGCCTCACTGCTCTGTCACCCTCATTTGTCTGCTCTGTAATGCATTCAACTTCTTTCAGACAAAACCCCCTCTCTTGCACCTAACAGGCCCAGGACCCAGGAGCCTGTGTCCAGGGATGGCTCTGTAGAGTTCATTCCGTGGCTGACATGACTCCTGTGCCTGTGTGGCCATTTGTAAAAAGAAGCTAAGATGTCTCTGCAAGGTCATCACAGGATATCCACATTGACAGTCAGTGGCAGGCAGGGTGGCTTCCCCCCCCCCCCCACCATCTGTTGGACCAGTGTTCACACCTCCTTCCCCATCTCTACTCTGACCTCTCCATCAGACTTGGGGGAATTTCCTGTCTAAGCCACTCTGAGCTGGTTTTGAGGTCCCCTTCTCAGCAGCTCTTCCTCCAACAGCCTGCAGGGGAAAAGGAATCAGGATCAAATGCATTTTCCAGGAACTTTACACTCTAAGGTGTGCTAGGAGTTCATACGATAAACTGATCCATGGAACCACTTCCCGAACCTTCCTGATTGGGCGTCTTGGGGGGCCAGCCAAGAGGAAGGAGCAGAGCCATGATGTTCTCTGTGGGCCCATGCCCCCGCACAGGGAGGGCACAGGTGCTTCAGTGCTCTGGGGCTAGTGTTTTTAACACGGGCCATTCTTGCCGCTTCACAAAATCAACATGCCATCATTGAACAGATGTTAGATAATACAAATAAGAGATTTTTAATATCCCTTAATCTAATGATTTTAGTTTTTCATCCTTATGTGAGATCAGATGAAAGTCAAAGCATTTGAATTAAAGGTGTGCCTGGCAACCCCCTCCTCTCAGTTATCCAAATTCTTTCTCCTGCCCCAGCCCCTGAGGGACTCTGGGGACTCCTGGTGTCCTTCACAGCACAGTTTGAACTTTGATACCTCAAACCAATTGGTGTGACTAATGGTGGAATTAATAGGCCTCAGGGTAGGAGGAGGATGCCGCTTACATTTGGGGGCCGAGGCCTTTTGGATACAGGCAGGCCTCCCTCACCCCGGTTTTTCCACCTGGTGGGTTCATCACTGCACCCCCAGGGGAAAGCTGGGGGGAAGACTGAGCCAGTGATCTGCCTTCTGCACAAAGCTATGTGGTAGGATGATCAGGGAATACTCTGGCTCCTGCCTGAGAGGGGGATTTTGGGGGACTTTTGGCCAAAGTGAAACGGCTGATTATAAGTCAGCACTCCGCACACGTGGTATTCCGAAGTTTGTCTGTGCAAGTGGGGATCTGGAACGTGGTGGTGGGCAGGAGGCCCAGCTGGAGCCCAGCAGAGTGAAGCCAGAGGCTCTTGCTCATCTTTCCCGTGCTCCCCAGGCCATCTGCTTAGATATCCATCCTCATCCTCTGACTTGGTTCCATTAATCTCTCTTTGAGAAGTGCTGGGCCAATTAGCTAATGTAAGAAGCAGATATTAAACGATTACTGTTGACCTGGTTCTTCCCTGGAGTGACCTTCCTGTAGAAGTGGGAACAATCCAACGTCTAGAAAATACCAGTCTGTGCTGTCTGCCCACGACCCTGCAAATGGGATCATTTCTCACTCTTCCCTTTAAGGCCAGAAGGTGAGAAGTAAGCTGGCATGTGATGCCAGTAGCTTTCAATAATGCCTTAACTTATTCTCGAATCAGAAAAGGACAGGAAGTCAGCTGTCTTGTCCAGTTTCCGTTCTGTGCTGGATTCCTGCCAGGTGGCTTTATGTCCATCCAGGGCCAGGAGCTCATTACCCTGTGCCCCAAAGCACTGACTGCTTCACTGTTTTCCTGTCCATCTGTATACTGAGCTCATGTCTGGCCGCCTTGGGGCCACCAAAGGCAGGTCAGCCAATATCCTGTCCCCAGAGGCAATCCTGTGTCTGTGGGAAGATGCTGACCACGCCCCTCTGGAGTCAACCCAGTTGCGGTGTGTTGGGGCTATCTGTGCTCCCAGTTATCTGTATCCTTTGACATGTGATCCTAGAAGTGAATCTCTGAACCCTTACACTGCTGAGCTTGACAGTTGCATCTGGAACCTTGTCAACCAGTGTCATGGGTGGTAGTGATATCCCTGTTTTCACCCATGGGTAACATGTGGAGGATCGGTGAGGAGGCATCCCCAGCCGAAGTCACACAGGAAGGAGGAGGCAGAGCCGCCTGGCCTGGTGACATTTTCTCCTTGATGCTGCTTCCAAATGCTGGGTCATCTCCGTATGTCTTATGCAGGTTAGAATGATAGCCAGCATGGGAACCCACCCAGTGGGTGAGGAATGAGGAGACTACTTCCTATTAGGAAAACCAGGCAGGACTTCTGGAGAAAGTGGCAGTTGAGCTGGGCAGAGATTGCCAGAAAGGAGCCTGACCCAGTGACAGAGGAGGACAGGAACTGGCAGGCAAAGGCACACTGACAGGGTGGGTCCTCCCTGTCACTGAGGAGTCCTCCGTGGAAGTGGCACCAATGAGTCTCGATTAAAATACCTTTTCAGGGCATTCAGACCTAGTCCAGCCTCTCAGCCCAGCCCAGTGGTGTGGCTGTGTGTGCAGCGGCTTCCCAGAAGCGGTGCTCGAGCTCCTGGCCCCTCTTCCTGCTCACATTCTCTAAGTGCTTGCTGCCTGCGTGGGGGCCTCCTGCAGGGACCCTGTCCCAAAGGACCTAGGTAAGCAGGGTGGCCAGGAACACCACACCCCTAGAACACCACACCCCTAGACGTCTCAGACACGGACAGAAGGATGAGTGTTCCTTCCAGGGTGAGATTTTGTTTTCTGTTTCCTCCTCAGAGGAAATTCCACTGCAGATTTTATTTTTAGCACTTTCTGAGGCCATTCACACAGGGACCTCTGTGGCAGCAGACGTATACCAGCCTGGGCCCAGGACAGAGCCCTCGTTCTTCCTCAGCAACCCAGTCCCGATTTTCTCTCAGGGCCCCCTGATCCCTGGCTCTCAGGTGAGGCTGCCCTTCGGTAAAGCAGGGACTCCCCAGTCCAAAGGAAGTACCGGCCCCTATGCTCAGCCTTGCCTGTGCCCCCAATTTGCATCTCACGCAAGTTACCATCCAACCTGAGCTCTGCTTCTGAGCTCAGAAGTCCCCACCTCCTCCTCGTGGTTCTGTGAGCCCTGTGGGGCAGTGCTTACACAAGTGGGGAGATGTAGCAACCCTGGAAAGATCCCCAGAGGGGATAGAAGACTAGATTCAGTCAGGTCCTCAATGACGAAAGGGCAGTGTGACTTCTGTGAGCCGCCTGCTCTGTCTTCCCATTTGTATTAAGGTGAAGCCCTTCCTGCCCTGCCTCCCTGAACAGTTGTCTTCAGCCATCAGGTTTGTGGTGTTTTGTTAACAGCAACAATATCAGCATCTCACTTAATTCTCACAATAATCCTATGTGGAGAACCACTATAATTATTCCCATTTTGCAGATGAAGAAACTCAGACATGGGGAGGCTAATCACTCCCCCAGTGCTACTTATTATTCATTATTATTATTATTATATATATTATGTATATTATTATTATACAGCTGTGCTAGTTATTATTCAGCCATTGTGTGACAGGACCGAAATGGGCTTCAGAGCTCACGCTCTCACCCCAGGTAGCACTGTTAAGGAGAGAGTGAGTAACTGCTGACGGGAAGAAGGGCAGCCTGGCTGGCCAGCTGGGCCTCAGAAGGCCTCTTAGGTCACCCCTCCCCCTCCTCTTGTCAGTGCTTGCAGCCCATAGCTGCACACACGTCATAAGAAGAGTGACCCTCCATCCATAGCATCTTCCACTACATAATAGTCTCTACCCTCCCAGACAGGAGAGCAGCGAGGCTCAGCTGCTGGGTGGTGTTTGGAATTCCACCCTTAGTTCTTTTACCCTTCCCAGGACTCTCACTTCAAGCTGATACTCTTAGAATTATAGGGGATTCCAATCCTGGACTTTTAGTGAGTGTTAAGGCCAGGAGGTCCCCCTAGGAGGTCACCCAGGAACCGGGCGCACACCCAGCAGCAGGCCCTTCGTGCTCCTGTGCACTGGGAAGCTCTCTGCGGGGAGAGGCTGCGACACTTCACACTCCCCAAAGCCAGACCGTCTCCCTGCAAGGCCGCCCTCTACCCCGTAAAACATCTGTTTTCTGTTCTTTGCTGGGAACAACTTGTGCCTGAAGCCTGAGCGAGGGGGTAACCCTCTGCTGGGCTGTGCTGTGTCCCAAACCAACTGTTCTCATTAAACCCACAGCCCTTGCTCATTTTACTTTAAAGAATAATAACTGGTGTGACTTTGTGCTCAGCTCAAAAGACCTCTGTCCTCCTCTCCTTGCATCCAGCTCTCACTTCACATCATCCCTTGAGATGATTCTTTAAAGAAAATCCCTAGGGAAATCAAGATTTTTTAATATGCAATAAAATTCACTTGTTTTAAGTGCACGGGTAGCTGAACAGCAGTAACTGTACGATCATGTGACCACCACCACAGTCAAGACGGTGAGTGAGTTTCTATACTAGAAAAGTTTCCATGTGCCCGCATGTCCTGTCAGACTCCCGCACTGCAGCCCCAAGTTGCCTGGGAGCTGCACTGCCACAATAGCTCTGTCCTTTCTAGCATCTCATAAGAATGAAAATATGTAGTCTGGACTCTTTTGTGTCTGATTCTTTCAATGTAAATGTTCTTGAAGCTCCTCCCTGTTGAGTATATTAGTGTTTTAGTTGCTTTGATTGCTGAGTAATGTCCTGTAGTTTAGATAGACCACAGTCTGTTCATCCATTTGATGGCTGTTTGGTTTGCTTCCAAACTGTTGCTGTTGGGGATGAAGCTGCTCTGAGCACTCACACATACGCATGTGGGCATATGTTTGCATTTTCTTGGGTGAATTCCTAGGTTATATGGTGGGATTTTGTCGTGGGTTGTACGGTGGGTTGTATGGTGACTTTGTGAGCATGGTTTATAGGTAAGTTATTGTGTAAGTATGATCTCTCCTTATAAGCCACCTCCACGGGTTTTTCCGAAGTGGCTCTACCACCCTGCATTTCCACTACCAACCTTCTGTTCTGGTTTCTTCACTCTCACCTGGAGTTGATGCTGTCACTTTTGAAATTTTAGCCATCTAGTGAATGGACAGTGGTAGTTCATCACAGCTATAATGTGCGTTTCTCTGATGGCTGGTGGTGCTAAGCATCTTTTCATCAGCCTATTTGTCATCCATGTGTCTCCTTTTGTCCAGTGACTGTTCAAATTGTATCCATTTTATATTAGCTTGTTTGTCTTATTAATGAGTTGTAAGAGTTTTTTATGTGATCTGGATGCAAGTCCTTTCCCAGATAGATGTTATAGAATAAAGTTTCTCCCAGTCTCCCAGGGGCTTTACCCTTGATAAGAGATGGAGGTCAGTGTGGGAAGAGCTGTGAGGCTGTGCTGCTCCCTAGCTGTTCCTCTTTGGGAAAATCCCTTCCCCTCTCTGAGCCTCAGTTTCTTCTTTAGTAAAATGGCAACAAGCAACCCACCCTGCCTTGCTCACTGTTAAGCACCCTAGGAAGAACAATGAGCATGAAAGCATTTTTAAACCCCTCAGACTCATAACTAGGTTACCAGTATTATCAAGTTGCAAAAAGAGCACTGAGACCATCTATCCCTGGCTTCAGTCTGTGCATGATCTGGCGGGGACACAGTGCAGGGCGACAGTGCCTCAGTTGAGGATGGATTGCCAAGGAGGGCTGTAGCTAGGACTTGCAAGGAGAGTCCTGATGGGCTTCAGGGTGAAGGAGGGGTTCTCTCATGTGGTTGGCATGTTCTAAGTATCTCCTTGGTGCCAGGCACCATCCTTGACACTGGGAACAGTCATGAGCCTCCCACTTCTCAGACCAGTGAGGATAACCAAAGTGAATGATGATTATGGGACTGGGCATAACGTATCCTGAAGGAGAAGCAATGCTGTCCGGGACCACAGCAGACAGGGCCCCTGATCCTGTTTTGCAGGAAGGCCAGAGAAGGGCTGAAGGTCGAAGGGTGGAAAGGAGTGAGCCAGGCAGAGGGAGGAGCAAGTGTAGTTGTGGCGCAGGCTTTATGCCCTGAGGGGTCCTGGTGCTTTACAGAGAGCACTGTTAGTGGCCAATGGGACCCGGATGACATCTGGTGACATTGCTATTATTTTCAGGATCACCCTGACGTGGTGGAAGCTGGAGTTAAGTGTTCCTTTGCAAGTGTTGGCTGCTCCTTCAAGGTAAGTGCCTGAGCGTGAGAGAGGAGATCCACTCAGTACACTCCCAGACCTTTGGACCTCCCCATTCCTTTCCATGATTTTCCCATGATATCAAGCCTGCCCTCTAGATGTCACTTACATTAGTGATTTTTCAGAAGCAAAAAGTCACACTGTTCAAAATATCGCCATATTCATGGAAGTTCTTAATGACTCACGTGGGTGTTGGTGAAGCATCACTAAAATGATGACCCCCCCCATGCCTCTCTCCATGGTCCTGAATCACTGAGCTAAAGACAGAGTGGGGTTGTTGCTCTGGAGGAGCAGCACGTGGCTCACTGTGGGCCTGCCCCATGCCAGGGCCCTCCTCTGAAGCCCTCCTGCTGCCTCTGGGCAGCAGGGTGGAAGGATCTGACTTTCCTTGACAGCCTTAGGAGGTAAGACTCTCCACAGCTCACACTTCTCCCCTTACCTACTCTGTTTGTTCTGACAAGCCACACTCTCTCGGCAGGGGAGTCCAAAGTTCATGGAGGAGCATGAGGCCACCTCCCAGGCCTCCCACCTAAACCTACTGTTGGAGTTCGCGAAACAGTGGAAGGCCCATCTGGGCTCTGGCCTAGGATCGGGGCCCATGACCCTAGAGCGCAATCTGTCAGACCTGCAGCTGCAGGCAGCTGTGGAGGTGGCTGGGGACCTGGAGGTGGACTGCTACAGGGCACCCTGCTCTGAAAGCCAGGACGAGCTGGTCCTCCAGCACTTCATGAAGGAGAAGCTTTTGGTGGAACTGGAGGGAAAGCTGCGTGTGTTTGAGAACATTGTCGCCGTCCTCAACAAGGAGGTAGAGGCCTCCCACCTAGCCCTGGCTGCCTCCATCCACCAGAGCCAGCTAGACCGCGAACACATCCTGAGCTTGGAACAGAAGGTGAGCATGGGAGGCAAGTGTACCTTCCAGCTCAGTTCAGGGGGTCCCCTTTCTCTCAGCTCAGAGCAGACTTTGCCATCCAAATGCCTCTCTCCTATGTCCCAGGACCTTCTAGGAAGGGCAGAGTCAAAAGTTATAGTCAAGGTTATCACCTCCCACCCTGCCCACACCCAGTACTTAAGTTCCTTTGGTTGAACTCAACAGAGGCTACTTCCTCCCCAAATATCTCATTCTAATGCTGAACATTTTCACTCTTAGAAAGTTATTCCTTATACTAAGCTAAAGTCAGTCTCTCAGGCCTCCCTGATGGCCTAGGGGTTAAGTCTCAGCACTGTCTCCACTACCGTGTGAGTTCGATCTCCAGCCAGGGAGCTAACACACATATGGCATAACAGACCTCTCATGTCTCACCCACTGCTCCCCTCAGCAGTGCATTTCAGTAGGTCCACCTGTTGCATTCCCCACTCTGTCTCTGGTGAATCCTCTCACCCCCCACACCTCTGGCCTACACCCCAGTTCTTCCATGCAAAAAAATAATAATAATAATAATAAATTCAGTCTCTCTGTATCTTCCCTGCGTTGTTCCTGCTCCTGCTTCTCAGGGCACAAAAAGTAAATGTGTCTTCTAGTCTGCATGGAATTCCTTCAGAGGTAAGCAGTCATGAGTACTTCTTTTTAAAAAAAAAAAAAAAAGATTTATTTATACAAGAACTGGGGTACAGGCCAGATGTGCGGGAGGGTGAGAGGATTCACTAGAGACAGAGCGGGGAACAGAACAAGCAGACTGACAAAATACACTGCTGAGGGGAGCAGCGGGTGAGACAGGAGAGGTCTGCCACGCCATGTGGGATTCTCGCTGGCTGGCCGGGATCAAACCCACGCTGCAGAGGCTGCGGACAGCGTCACAGTGCGGCGTTCAACCGCCTGCGCCACCCAGGAGGCCCGAGTACTTCTTTCTTTAGACTAAACACCCCTGATGACTTCACCCCTTCATCAGCGCATGCTATTTCACTATCTTTGTATGCTCTGCCTCAGTCTCTAAAAGTCCCAGCCAACTCCAGATAATCCACTTATCTGAAAGTTCTTGACTGAGCTGCACTGTCTTCTCCTTTGTTCTGGAGTTTATATTTTTCTTAATATAGCCAGTCACCATGATAATGTTGCTTGTTTTGCCGTAGCAGCATTATATCACTGTCTCATATTGGATTAGGTATGGACTTCAATTGCAGCACAACCACTAGCTTGATATGTAGGTCTCAGCCAGTCCCTTTCCTTCTCAAGACTTCAACTTCCTCATCAGTAAAATTAGGGATTGAGTTTTCTTTAAGGATAGCTCACTTTCATTCCTGACTTCCTACCTGAGCACACACAAGAATGCATTTGTATTCTTTCAACCATCAGTGGGGAACCTACCAAAAGTGTTGGCTTTGAGTGACTGAGTAAAGCCTTGTTTATGCGATCTTGTCCATGTATGAAATGGGCTCCCTGAGGCCAGCACCTGTCTCTTCAGCAACAAGTATCCTGGCTCTATTCTGACAGCAGTGCTGGGCACTATGCAAGGCAGGAAAAAAACAAGCCTGGGCTGAGCCCTTGCTGGGGGTAACCATCTGGTAAGAAAGGCAAGAAAATCTCTCTCCTAAAACTGTTGTAAAGGGTCTGAAAGAACATAAGTGAGAGACCAAGCTGAGCCAGGGCAGTGGGTAAAGGCTTCCCAGAGGAAGGGCTCTGTGAGACAGATTCCTGACTGGTGAGTAGATGCTGACCAGGGAAAAGGAAGGAAAAGGAATTCCAGCAGCATGTGCACAGGCAGCTATACGGGCCTGTGGGAGATGTGCTCAGGGAGGCATCTGTTTCCATATTCCACTGTCTAGACCCCACCCCAAGCTGGGTTTGGCGACCCTCGCTGAATGGGCCTCCCCACAGGTGGTGGACTTGCAGCAGACCCTGGCCCAGAAAGATGAGGCCCTGGACAAGCTGGAGCAGAGCCTGCGCCTCATGGAGGAGGCCACCTTCGATGGCACCTTCCTGTGGAAGATCACCAATGTCACCAGGCGGTGCCACGAGTCAGCATGTGGCAGGACCGTCAGCCTCTTCTCTCCAGGTAGCACCTCCCAGGGACACCAAGACCACTGTCAGGGGATGGGGAAGGCAGGTCCCCAGCGGAAGTAGAAAACCAGGTGGGTGAGCAGCCGACTCTGACAGCCTGGCTGGGTCCACTTGGTATCCACACACGCCACCTCCACAGCCAGCAACCTGTGGGGCCGCACATGCCCAGCTCTGCTCAGCCGCGTAGAGCCCGGGCTATGTGAACAGGCTCCCTTTCTCCCTCCCTGAGCACTGTCACATCCTCCGAAGCTTGTGCCAATGAGAGGGCATGGAGGAGGATTTCACGATGATGTGCGGGGCCCTGCCCTTGGCAGCCAGTGATCTGAAATAAGTGGAGATGACGTCAGCGTGAGCACTGTGTAAAGTTATTTTGTGCTGGGCCCCTGCCCCTGACACAGTATAATTACTCAGCACATATTTCTCCTACTGGTGTCTGTTTATATAACAGTGTGTCTGTTTGTGCACAAGAGGCTCAGTCCTGCCTGTCCTTCCCCTGCCTCACTCCCTGTGTCTGAGTAAACAGGTCATTAGGGAGGGTTTCTACAGATGGCAATTTTCAGGACCCCTCCCTGGGCCCCAGCTTCATGCCTGTCCTGCCCATCATCTCCTCTGATGGCTCCAGGACCTGCAGGGCTGGATTATTTCTCCTCCACCTCCTGACTTTATCGAGGAGGATTGACCCTGCGCTGCAGACCAGGCTGATCCAAAGCCAGGCCCTTTTCCTCAGGAGCAGGGACAGCCCCTTCATGGGGTGACCTCACCTCCCAGGAGTAGGCTTTTTCTCCTCACTTTTTCAAAAAGGGAAAAGTGAGTGGCTCTGGCTTTCTGGTCTACCAGAAAATATGTAAGAGGCAGAGTTGAGTCAGACTGTCAGCTGGTCCCTCCTTTGCCCCTTCCTGCTAGCCCACACACCCATCCCCATTCAGTCCCTCCCAAATGTGGCCTGGAGGTCGCTGCTGCTGGCACCCCCTACCCTGATAACCCAGGGGGAGAGCCCACAGGCTGCTGAACTTCAGCCCTGAGAGGCCTTGGTCAAGGGTGGTCACCAGAACTGTCAGCCATCCGTCCCCTCGCCCCCAACCTTGGGAGACCCAACACTGTCCTGTCTAGGACTGTGGAAATAATCAGTGTTGAAGGGTGGGAGGTCTGGCCTCTAGTCCGGGCTTTGTGCCCACGGTGAGGCAAGGCTACTGCTGCCCTCGCTGAGTTGGGTGTCCCAACTACAGAAAGTAGGTTGGTTCCATCAAAAGTGTGGTCCCAGCAGCAGCACCATCCCCTGCAAATGTTTGAAATGCAAAGTTTCAGCAGAAACTCCTGAGGTGGGCCTGGCCAGTTGACAACTACCAGGCCAGGTGTCCTCTTCTATGCACTAGATAGCAGAAGAATGCTGGCCCCACCCCAGATTTCTCAGTTTTGAGCTGAGAAATTTTGAGCTGAATTTTGAGTGCCTAACCCCACTCCTAGTCTCCTCTTCTGCGAGGTGCAGCTGCCTCTGAGCTGACCCCGCCTTGCACATTTCAGCTTTCTACACTGCCAAGTACGGCTACAAGCTGTGTCTGAGGCTCTACCTGAATGGGGACGGGGCAGGAAAGAGGACCCACCTGTCGCTGTTCATCGTGATCATGAGAGGGGAGTATGATGCCCTGTTGCCATGGCCTTTCCGGAACAAGGTAAGCAGGGAAGGGTCCCAGGGGGAAATATGATTCAGGTCCCGCTTTAGGCGTGAACTGGCCATGTGACCAAGGCAAGCCCTTGATCCCCTCTCATGATCAGTCTCCCCTTTATGAAACAAGAGACTGAGTTGGTGTTGAATGGCCAAGACTCCCTCTGGCCTTGCGCCAAGTCCTGGGGCTGAAATGCCTGGATTCACACCCCCTGGAAGGCACGTGGCAATGAAATTCAGGTGGGGTGAGAAGGAAAACTGGAGGAGGTGCCAGGTGTCACCTGAACTAGCAGCATTATCAGAAAAAGAGAAGCAAGCAGATAGCCCCACACGGCCACAAGAAGGGCCAAAATTCAGCCTGTTTTAGACCCAGACCCCGCTCTGAGCCCAAGTATGCTGACTCCAAGCCCTGCTGCCACCACCCAGGCCTGACTTCCCACCTGCCCTGCCTGCAGGTCACCTTCATGCTGCTAGACCAGAACAACCGTGAGCACGCCATCGACGCCTTCCGGCCTGACCTGAGCTCAGCATCCTTCCAGCGGCCCCAGAGTGAGACCAACGTGGCCAGCGGCTGCCCGCTCTTCTTCCCCCTCAACCGGCTGCAGTCGCCCAAGCATGCCTACGTGAAGGACGATGCCATGTTCCTCAAGTGCATTGTGGAGACAAGTACTTAGGGCAGGGGTGGGTGGGTGCACCTGACCCAGAGGGAGCACTGCTCAGGCTGCAGGGTCTGCAGGATGACAGACATCTGCCCTTGGCGCCAGCATGCTGGGGCACGGCAGTGGGCTGGCACGACCTGAGCAGGACTGACAGGATGACTATGGCCACTATCAGTTAGGGTGGAGGACCTTGGGCAGGACCCACAAAATCAAGGGGTCCAGCCAGAAGCCATGGCTGGACAGTTGCTCTCTGCACTGACCACGTACCCGGGAGCCGCTCCAGCTGGGCATCATGAAATGGACTCTGACCAAGATGGGGAGGCCATGGAGACTTGGCTTAGGGCATGGATGGTGAGTTGGGGATGTGGAACCTGAGTGAAGGTGGCCTCCAGATGGGAAGATCACTGCGGGGCTACCAAGGAGAACTGGAAACAAGTTGCCCTCTTCCTGCTCAGGCCCAGGGTCAGGGGGTAGAAAGGACAGGGTGTAGCATGAATGCTGGCTGTCCTGACCTGTACCGACCGAGTTCCCTGCCACTGGAAGTGAACAGAGAGAACCAGAGGGATGCACTGGGGGTAAGGGGCATCACATTGGGAGTTGGGGATTTGAAGGCCTTGAGGGTCCCTTCCAGCCCAGAAAGTGTCTAGTGCTAGGCCTCCTGGCCCTGGTGGAGGAGGGGATAGGGCTGCAGGGTTCAGAAACATTCAGGAGGCTCATTCCTACTGGGTTCCTCACTCACTCTCAGTCCCATAGGTGGGCAGTGCTGGCCCCCACCTTGGGCCTTCAGTTCAGCTTCTCCAACATGGAAGGGCATCCCCAGTTTCCCTTACCTCTTCCAGGGGAAGCCAGGTTACCGAGCTCCCAGGGGCGGCCAGAAGGTGCAGAGGAGGAGGGGGCACCAGCCCTCCACTCTCCCTGCCTGGAGGCCCTACCTTTGGTATGTCCAGACTCCCAGGACCTCAGTGAACCAAGTTATTCACTTCTCTGGTTAACTGCTCGGAGGCCCACTCGCAGAGGTTGCCCTTTTAAATATATAGAACCAAGAAAAAAATTTTAAAGATCTTTTCCATAGTCTCCTGATGTGATGGTAATGGGAGTTGGACGTACCTGAGTCAAGGACAGAAAAGCCACGGCTGAGGTCTCGGTGATGGTACTAGTCCAGCCATTACTCCCATGCCAGGTACTGGCAGGAACACCCCTCCACCTGAGTCTCCTTTATATAATGGGGAGAGCTGCGCCAACCTGCTTCCCTTACTGGGGTCCATGAACCCTAGCAGAGCTGCCCCACAGAAGATGGAAGAAAGAAAATCCCGAGGCCCTCTGCCTACCTGTGATGCCCACTGTGGCCCATGCTTGTCTTCTTGCCACGAGGCTTCCCACAGCCATGTCTAGCAGGGACCCTCCCTGATTCTCCAGAATCCCTGAGATTTCACACTGCTGCCCAGGGCTCCAGATCAGGACCTCAGCTGTCTCCCACCACCTTCCCTGTAGCTCACTCTCCTTCTACTTGCTGAGGCCAAGAGCCACTTAACTCCTCAGGCCTCAGAGGTTTCATTTATAAAATGGGTCCTCAGTCCTGCCTGCTCTCCCAGGCTGGCATTTCTGAGCATGGAGGTGAGGGGGCAGCTGGATATCAGAAAACGAGACCTAGCCTGGGGCCAAGCATGATGTCCCTGTGCTTCTGCATTTGAGTATAGAGAAGACATCTTTGCTGCCTCTACCTGCTCCGGAGGTCTTCAGAAGTCCCATAGACTATAAAGCTGCCAGCATGGCTTTCTGCTCACCTGTCGTCACTTAACATCCATGATAACATTCTACCAGGAGCCCTTTCTTATGGGCACAGACTGAGAAACCAAAAAAAAAAAAAGAAATTAGCCTGCTCAAGACCACTCCAAATAAGGGGTGGACTCAAGATCTACACTTGGGTCTTATGATGCCAAAGCCAAGGCTGAAATTATTACCACTCCATTCAGATGGAGAAACTGAGGTACAGAGAAGGAAAGTGACATGCCTGAGGTCCCACTTGGAAGTCAGGCTAACTCTGCTTGTCATCATGAACTGCGCTGTCCAGGATGGTGGCTGCAAACGTGTGGCAGTGGGCATGTGTGGTCAGCTGAATAATGGCGCCAGTGTCCATACCCTGTGAACAGGCCCCCTGACATGGATTATGAAGGATCTTGAGAGGGGACAGGAGCCTGGACACAGGTGGACCCAATGAAATCACAAGAGTCCTCAGAAGAGGAGGGAAAAAAGAGTCAGAGTCGATTTAGTCAGCTAAGCAGAGGGAGGAGGTGACTGCAAAAAAAACCAGAGGAAGGAACAGTTGGAGGGGATGCAGGCTGCCACCTCTAGAAGCTAGAAAAGACCAGAAAGGAATTCTCCCCTGGAGGCTCCCCTCCCAAAGGAACACAGCCCTGCCCACGCCTTGGTTTGCCCCTTAGGACTCATTTCACGCTTCTGAACTCCAGAATTCAGAGACCGTGTGTGCACTATTAGCCATTAAGTTTATAGTATTATATTACAGCAACAGTTAAAAACAAATACCGCACTTGAAATGTGGTTACTCCAATTGGAGAGGTGCCCTAAGTCGAAGATGTGCACCATGTTCTGAAGACCATACAAAGAAGAGAATTTATTTATATCTTTCTACTGATGACATGTTGAAATGAGAAGCATTTCGATATGTTAGATTGAGTAAATATAATAAATAATTAAAATTATTTTTACCTGTTTCTTTTTTTAAATGTCAATCTAGACAATTTAGAATTTCTGATGTAGCTTGTGTCAGGTTTGCACTAGTCTTGGATAGTGGGGGTAGGCCCCTCTCACTGTGTTATAGTCAGGGATGGGTAACTACAAGCGGGGCACCCTGGTGGTGGGTGAGGGTCCCGGCCCCCACGTTCCCCACTCCCATCCACCTGGGATGAGCCCTGATGATCCGCCAGTCCTGCTAGACAAGACTTATTTTTAGCAACCGCTCTGGCTGCCTCAGCACAGCTGCCTCATAAGTCTTCTGGGTGGGGGCCAGCCCCAAAACTGCCATCTCCCTGCCAAGGAGGGATCTTGGAGAACTGGACTCATGTCTTAGAGGTCTTTCAGGGCATGTAAGCAAGCATCTCAACAGTCTGGCAAGTAAATGTGATCATTATTTGTGTGTTTGTTTTGATGAAGTCCAGGCCAGGTCTCAGGAGGAGGCAGAGTGGCAGAGTCTAGGCCCTCCTCCCAAAAGCCTAGCCCTGCCCCTGAAAAGCATGGCCTTGCCCGAGGGGCTGCTTATATTTTGGAGAGTGTACTAAGTAAGAGAGACCTGACTTGAAAGGTATTGTTAGGCTGATGAAGCTTAGTTTCAGGATGTAGAGGTGACATCATCTAATGAAGTAGATCAGAATAATAAAAAATCCACACACTTTTTGCTCTCAACAAGTCAGAATAGATTTCAGCTGTTTTGAGGCAGTCCAAACCAGTTTTTTACAAAGCAGTTTGAACCAGTCAGAACCACTCAAAACAGGTTTCAGCCAGCTTGAACCAGTTGGAACCGGTTTGAACTGGTTCAAGCCAAACTGAACCAGTTTCAGCTGGTTTGAACTAGTCAGAAACAGTTTCAGCCAGTTGGAAACGGTTTCAGTTGGTTTGACACAGTCAGAGCCAGTGTCAGTTGATTTCAGTTGGTTTCAGTTTCAGTTCATTTGAACAAGTCAGAAGCAGTTTCGGCCATTTTGAGTCAGTTGGAACAAGTGTCAGTTGGTTTCAGTTTCAGTTTGCTTTGCTTTCATTTGCTTTGAAAAAGAACTGGTGTCAGCCATTTTAAAGCAGTCAGAACCAGTTTTTGCCAAACCAGTTTGAACTGGTCAGAACCAGTTTCGTTTGGTTTCAGTTTCAGTTCATTTGAAGAAGTCCGGAAAGATTTCAGTCATTTTGAGCCAGTTGGATCCAATGTCAGCTGGTTTCAATTGGTTTCAGCCATTTTGAGGCAGTCAGAACTGGTTTTTGCCAAACTGGTTGGAACTAGTTTGAGCTAGTTGGGAACAATTTCAGCTGGTTTGAACTGGTCAAAAACAGTTGGAACTGGTTTCAGATGGTTGTAATAAATCCAAACCGGTTTCAGTTGGTTTCAGTCAGTTTGAACCAGTCAGAACTGGTTTCAGCCAGTGTTGGTTGGTTTCAGTTTCAGTTCATTTGTACAAATCAGAAATGGTTTCAGACATTTTGAGCCAGTCAGACCCAGTGTCAGTTGTTTTCAGTGTCAATTGGTTTAGGTTTCATTTGCTTGAACAAGTCAGAACTGGTTTCAGCCCTTTCAAACCAGGCAGAACTGGCTTTTGCCAAACCAGTTTGAACCAGTTAGAACCGGCTTCAGTCAGTTTGAACAGGTTTCATTTGGTTTGAACAGGTTGGAATTGGTCTAAGCCACTTTTGGACGAGTTGGAACCAATTTGAGCCAGCTTCAGCCGGTTAGAGCCAGTTTGAATGGGTAAGAACTGGTTTCAGCCAGTTTGAATGAGTTGGAACCGGTTTCAGCTAGTTGAAACTGGCTCAAGCCAGTTTTAGTTGGTTTCAACCGGCTTGAGCTGGTCTGAACCAGTTTCAGCTGGCTTGAACTGGTCATAGCCAGTGTCAGTTGGTTTCAGTTTCAGTTCATTTGAACAATTCAAACAATTTCAGCCTTTTTGAGCCAGTTGGATCCAGTGTCAGTTGGTTTCAGCATCAGTTGTTTTTGGTTTCATTTGCTTGAACAAGTCAAAACCAGTTTCATCCACTTTGAGGCAGTCAGAACTGAGTTTTGCCAAACAATTTCTGGCTTGGCTGACCTGGCTGGTTCAGAGTGGTCAAAACACATTCAAACCAGATATGATTGGATAAAACCAGTTAAAATCCTTCTGACTGCTTCAGTGCAGTTCTAATGGACTCGAACCAGCTCTCAGCAGTTAAAAAGGTTCAGAACAGTTCTGACCAGAGAAAACTGATTACAACCAGTTCTGTTGGAATAAAACTGTTTATGACTGGTTAAAACATGTTCTAGTCAGTTCTGACTGGCTAAAACCGGTTCAAATCTATTTGAACTGGAGGATAAAACCGGTTTTGACCAGCTCAAACCAGTTCTGACTGGATAAAACTGACTTACCAGATAAATCCAGTTTTGACTGGATCAAACTGGTTCAAACCAGTTCTGACCTAATAAAAGTGGTTCTGACTGGTTAAATCCTATTCTAACTGGTTATGACTGGATAAAACCAGCTCAAACTGAATAAAACCAGTTCAAGCTGGTAGAGTTGGTTTCAGCCAGAACTGGTTTTACTGGTTTCAACCAGTTTCAGGTGAAACCAATTGCTTTCCTGAATTCACTTATTCTAGCAGCTTTACACTGCATGCTTTTGGTTTTCAAGATGGACAGATGCTATTTAAATCAGCATAATTTTGTCTCCTTTTCAATAGCAGTAAAAAGGACTATTTGGTGGGCAAACGAACAAGTGACTTATCTAAGAACTTCAATTCCCTTAGAAGGAAAAAATGGAAAAAATGCAAATATATCCAATAACCATCTACCTTGTTGAGCTACTACAAATATTAAGTAAAATCAATAGTATAAACTCCAATTCCAGAATCCTTAAGATTACTTCTTTTCTTTTCCCACTCCCTCCTTGCTTCCAACCTTATTGCAATGGCTAAAACTTTCAGTTCAATGTTAAATAATGTAATGACATCCTTATTGGCTTCCTGGTTTTAACTGGAGGTTTGTACCCAGAGAGCCTATTAATCAAGGACGGTGCTGTGGTCATATGATGTGAGTCACCTGACAATCACAGACTTTCCTCTCTAAGGCAATCATGCTCCCTTAAATCTGAAAGTTCAAAACCTCTGATGATTTTATCTGTCAATTACAACTCAGTGACGTTTAAAAGAAGAGTTTGCTGGAGATTTCTATACTTTGTTTTCTTAATTTGAATCTTGATAACTCCCAGTCCCAGTGAGGAAAGAAGGAGGAGTGTGGGGTGGGGTGGAGGGCAGGGGGTATAGTTGGGGAGGTTGGAAATTAAAGCTTTCCCGGTAGTCCCCTCCCTCTGGAGCTGGATAGCTGGAGCACTGGACCTGGTGTCTATAGCCTGGTTTCAGGTGCTCACTGCCTCCCTGCTGGCTGTGAGACCTTGGGCAAGTCACATGACCAGCTTTAAGTCCATTGTCATTACCTGGACAAGCTAAATACCAGGGTCCCTGACCAGTGGGGTTATGAGGGCTTGCTGGGGGTGCACACAGAAGGCCCTGGCGCACAGAAGGTTCCCACCCATAGTGGCTGAAACTGAGTGCTCGGGGGCTTGTGCACTGGCTCTTTTTAAGGGGGAGAATCCTCCCTAAAGGCCTCTACTGAGAAGCCATTTATTAGGTGTTCCCTCATCAGATCCCCCTCACATCTGCTTCATTCCTGGCTTGGTACCCGTTAGGATCATCAGAGGTCAGCATCCCGATGCAGGGGGTTGGGGGAGACAGACAATAAATGTACATCTCACAGCCAGGGGCGCACAAGGGCCTAACAGGCTTGCAGCTGCTGCCAGGCAAGGCCCATCCCCTGGCTCCGTCCCCTCTGGCAGGCCCAGTGCCAGCACCGCAGTCATATGGAATGCATTGAGGGCGCCGCATTCCAAACACGCAGGGCTTCGCTCCCAGCGCCTTCTCCTGGCCAGCGCCAGGCCCTCTCTAGGCAGCTGGGGCCTCAGCCCCTCCACCCCAGAAGAGGGCCTCCTGCTGCTGCCTTCCACTGCAGCTCCTCCAAGGCTCACCCTGCCGCAGGAGTGGGGTGGGCGCTGGCCCTCCATGCAGCCCATCCTCCAGCAGCCAGCCTGGGACCAAAGGGGACCTGGAGAGCAGTGGTCAGGTGGCCCTGGAGGCACCGGAATCACAAAGATCCTATGGCTTTGTTGTAGAAACTTAACAGAAACATTTCAAGTAAAAATCCTAAGTTTGGCATTCGTGTTTCAAGTGACCTTGAGAATGAATTCCCCTTACCTATGTCTATGTCTCCTGTCTCCTCCCAGATGGAGTCAGGCATCTTTGGGTGCATAGCTGAATCTCTGCTATCACAGAACAGTGTGGTAGCTGACCCTCAAAAGTTGGTCTGATGAATGAGTGAGGGGATTGCTGGGCTTAAACTCTGTGCCAGGCAGATTCCCATACTCATCTCATTTCCTTTATGGAAATGCATTTTCTTTATGGAGGCCACTGCCATAAGCCTCGCCCTATTGACACATGAAGAGACTGAGGCTCAGGAGGGGCTCCAGGCCTCACCCCTACACCAGGGGCTTGCAAGCTGGCCCTGCATAGGATCAAGATGAGGGCTTGTGAAAACACAGATTTTTGGATTCAGTATTACGGGGTGGGGGTGGAGAATTTGCATTTATCACGCCTGCCCGGCTGCTGCTGGTTCTCTTGATCCCGGACCACTCTTTGGGAAGCTCTGCTCTAGCCTGGGCGCCCCGCTCTGGATGAACTTTCAGCACCTGGGCAGGTGTCACATTCCGGTTCTGACCAGTTCTAACCAAAACTGATTCTAACCAGAACCAACTCAAACTGGTTACAGGTCTGACTGCTTAAAATCAGTTCAAGCCAGTTCCAACTGCTTTCTGGTGGTCTGACCTGTTCTGGCTGGTTCAGAGTGGTCCAAACACATTCAAACCAGATCTTATTGGCTAAAAGCAGTTAAAATGTGTTCTAAC